AAGAGGATGTGGGGAAAAGGCCATCTGCATTCCTAGTGGGAACAAGTACAACCACTACGGAAATGAGTGTGACTTCTCAAAAATGTAAAATAAAATTTCATTTGACCCAGCTGTATTATTTCTGGGTATCTTCCCGAAAGAGTTAAATGATACATGCACACCCATGTTTATAGCAGCACAGTTCATTTAAGCCAAATTTTAGAAGCAGCCTATATGCCCATCAACGGAGTTTTTTTTTTTTTTAATGTGGTACATCTGGACTGAGGAGCTAGCTCATTGGCCTAAGCACCTGCCTGGCAGGCGCAAGGTCCTGAGTTCAATCCCCGGTACCACATGCTGTGGGCATGGTGGCACATGCCTGCAATCTTAGCCCTGGGGAGGCTGCAACAGGAAGATCACTGAGTCTGAGCTGCATAGCAAAACCCTGTATCAAATAAAGAAAGAAAGAAACAAAGTTTTTTAAAATGTGGTATATTGGGCTGGTGAGATGGCTCAGTGGTCTAAAGCACCTACTTAGAACAAGCTAAGCAAAGCACAGGGACCGCAGTTCAATCCCCCAGCACCACATGCCAGCCAGCCCCGCCCCCTGGTGGGCTGAGCTGGCCACACACACACACACACACACACACACACACACACACACAAATAAATAAAATGTGGTATATCTGTGTGTAATGGAGTACTACTCAGCCATAAAGGGTAAACTTGATTCATGGGAAAATGAATGCATCTTGAGACTGTAATACCAAGTGAAATAAACCAGACAGAGTATTAAACATTGCATTCTTTCTCGCATATGAGAAATCCAAAATATATTTATGCTGTAATTTAAAGAGCAAAGTAAAAGAGATGACAGAAGGAGATAAACTTTGTGGAGTTGGGAAGGGAATCCAGATAGGAGAGATCCCCTGGGTGGGAGAAGGGGAGGTAAACAGGATTAAGATGTGATTTATGTGAGTATTAACTCCCCAAGATAAATATAATTATTATGTATAACAAACATATTCCAGTCCAACAATTCTGAGAAAAGACATGGGTGGCTGTGGCACCAGGCAGGACCGTGGTAGAGAGGAATACCACCAGCAGGAGGTAAGGCAGCAGTTAAAGAACTTGGGGTGGGATTATCCATCCCATGGAGGAGGTTCTAGTCCAAGCTACAGTTCCTCCTTCCATAAAACCCACACACATGCAAGCATGCTAGGCCTGACCTGCAACTTCAGGTACAGCGACAAACCCCCAAGTCAAGAGACCCTAGGCTTCCAAGGAACCTGTGGACAAGGCTGTGAGAACTTTGCTTCCTGTGGAATCGAGCATCTGCAGACAGCGGGAGCCACCACCCCCCACCTCCCACCCCCCGCCAAGGCCTGAATGTGGCAGTGGGTGCTATGGGCGAGGGAGGTGAGCTGAGCTAAGGATGCTCAGGTCACTGTGTGACACAAGAAGACACTTCCTGTAGCCAGCACACTGGGGCCCCAGGCAGGACTCCAACTGGTCAACTGCAGCTGTGGCAATTTAGGCTGAATTCGCCACTCCCTCCTAAGTCTGGAGGATACAGGTGATGGGACAGGAGAGGTCTGCGACCCTGAAGACCTTCAAGGTCATTTCCCATAGCACTTCTCTACCAGATGATGTGACACATGTGAGGCTTGAACAGAAATGACACCAAAAGAAGTTTAGGAAAAAGCTGAGTACAGCTCTTCAAGATGCCCACTGAAAGAGCAGTTACAGGATTCTAGTTCAAAAGTGAAAAGAGGGGTACAACTTCCCTAACGACACGCCAACCCCATGGGAAGTCAAAACACTCCGGCGCCACAGATGGCACTTCCGAAGGCCCCTGAATCGCCAGCCAGGGAAACCCACACCTGAACCCAAAGGCTGTGGCAGCTGTCCCTGCCCGCCCTCCTCCTCCAGCCACGACAGCCTGCCTTGGCTCCAGCTCCCTCCGCAGCGCTTCCACCTCCTTCCCCTTTCAGGCCGGCAGCCCACTCCGTTCCTCTCCCATCCCCTCAGTTCCTTTTTCAGATCCCAAATCTGCTTCCTCAGGAAAAGTCCCTCTGACCTGGCCCGGTCCACCCGCTACCCTGTCTCGAGCCTGTGTTGTAACGCGTCGCGGTTGTGCTGCCTTCCCGCTTGCGCTGAAACTGTTTCAGTACAGGCACAAAATCAGGAATAAGACGGTGACACCGTGTAATTCCACATAAAACACCCGCAGACTCGCTCTTCCGGAGTCTTGTCAAAAGTGCAAGATCTCAAAGAACTCAGATAAACCCAAGGTGAGAGATACAAGCGCAGACATGTACGTGTCCTCCCCTAAAAGGGAACCTCTGCAACACAGCTTTAGTTTTTTATTGTGGAAAACCTTTGACCTTAAGATTGCCAAAAATCAGTTTCCACGTACCTTTCACCCCACTGTCAGTAACGTCAGCACCTTACCTAACCACCGCACAACTGCCAAGAAAACGCAGTAACACTAGTGAAATGGCTCTTTCTGGATTCCCATCTCAGCCGCAGGCGAAGGTGCCAGCGAGGCTTGCTTCTTCACGTTCGTCCAGTACCTGCCTGCCTCGTGAAGCCTTGCGCTGGCTCACGGCCTTGACGCTTAGAAACTCCCTGGTCAGCTGTTTCCCAGGGTCTCGCAGCTTGGCTTTGTCTGTGGGCTCTCATGAGCACACTGAGATCTTGCACTTCTGACAAGAATCCCAGAGTGACAATCTTGGGATACCGTATCAAGAGTTACACGGTGTCACTTTGTTACTTATGTTACTTTGGCCACTTGTTAAGGTCATACGTGCCAGGTTCTCTACCACAAATATAGTGGTTTTCCCTTTACAATTAGTATCTTGCAAGGAGGTCTCATGCAAAACCTTGTTTCTCATCATACTTCCAATCTAGCGTCCCCTTGTTTGTAAGAATTACTCCTCTGGTGTGAAGTATTTTTTTCAATCTTCTATACTCTTGCATAGGTCCTACTGTGGATTCTTAGTTAACGGCTTACAGGTCGCTGGCAGTCCTCACGTTATTGCTCAGATTGCCCAGTTAGCCATCCAAGGCCCCAAGTTGGCTTTATCCTTTCAGAAACCTCCCTCCTCCTCTGCTCCCCATGTTCTCATTCCTCACACACACACGCGTGTGCTTTCCACCTGTCCAGCCCCAAGCTGTGAAAAGCAAATCGAGAGTGCATCCCCTTCTACAGTGCTGCAGTGTAATGGCTTCCTGCCCAGCCCCTCCCGTGGGGTTCACTGGTTACTGAACTTGTTTTGAACTCTCCTCAGAGCCTGTTCATTTGGGGGACGTGAAAAGCACCACTGAGGCTCAGTGACACAGAGAGCTGCACTCAAGCGCCCGGTCCCTCGCCCTTCACGCCGCCACTGCCTTTCACCTCACGGGCGACGGACTGCATCAGGCCAGTCTTTCCTTACTGTGCACACAGAAGCAGGCTCCTGCATTTCCTTATGTCCCCTTCCTCATACATGAAAGAGAACATTACGCTTTCCACACTTCGGTTTTTGCACTTAACAACATAGCCTGGCAAGGACTCCCTCCCAGTTCAGAGCCCTTTCTCATTCCTGCACTGCTAAGCAGCACGTGTCCCGGGACATGCCATGGTTCACCTGGAGTCCTCATGTGCTGCCACATTTACACTGCTTCCCACACTTGAGGTCACAATGTCACACTAGGTAACCACACCGTTTATACTTCTGTGTTATTGGTGATGTCTTTGGGGAAACGTACCGGGTTTTGTAGCTTTAAGTAGATATCAGTCCTTTGTATGGGCTCTGTATTCATGGATTCAACCAACTGCAAATCAGAAATTTTCTGCAAGAAAACTGCCATGGGCATGGTGGTGCCCACCTAGAATCCCAGAACTCTTTTTTAAATTTTTTGGCGGAACCGGGGATTGAACTCAGGCCCTTGTGCTTGCCAGGGAAGCACTTATTCCACTGAGCCAGCTCCCGGCCCAAGCCCAGAACTCTGGGAGGCTGAGGGAGGATTGAAAGTTCAAGCTCAGCCTGAGTAACTTAGCAAGACCCAGTCTCAAAATAAAAATGACTGGGTGTAGCTCAGGGGTACAGTACCTCCGGTTTTGATCCTCAGTACCTCTGTGTCCTTCAAGAAAACCCGCAGGTGGCCTCGCCTCACACCCCCAGCTGAGCCCTGCGGCCTGCGCGGCGGCGTGCTGCTGTGCTTCTGGAGGACAGGCGCAGCTCAGCGGAGCCTGCACCTGCATGCCACTTGCACTCCCCAAGAGCTTGGTCTTCTATGTATCATTCTTACATCTTTGAATCTTGATGTATCTCTGGCTTTCCCAATTTTCCTATCAAAAGGTTGGTCTTCGGCCCCTTAGTTTTTAATTCTCTAATAACAGTGTTACCCCTCTAAAACTCTATGCTGCAAATACCTTCTCCCAGCTTTTCATTTGGTATTTTTTGCCGAGTACTTTTCCCCTCCTTTATGTAATTAAGTTAACCAAGCTTTTATTGCAGCCGAATATTCATTTGTCTTAGTATCTGTGTGGCTTTGTTTTCTCAGATTTAGATCTTGCATCCATTCAGTTTATTCCCACGACCTAATTCAGCCCCTTCCAAGCAACTTTCCTGTTGCCTGAGCACCTCTTGTTAGGAAGTCCACACTGGGCGATGATTTTTGCAGCTGCCTTTAACAACCCCACACACACACTCCCCGGGTCCTCTGGGGGCACTTGAGCCATGGAAGGTGTAAAAAGATGACCCTTGTTTGTGAGGCTGTGCTCACCTAGAAGGCGGGACAGTGAAGCTTGAGGGCTGCAGGGGTCACTGATGGAAGGCACAGCAGCACCCAGAAGCTGGGTGCTAATCAAGCAGAATGGTGCAGAGAGGAAAGCGGCTTCAGAAACAGAAGCAGAAGGGCTGGCCCCACTGCCACTGCCCAAATCCTCCCAACAGCAATGCCCACGGCAAAGCCAGCTCCAAATCCCCAGCAAACCACTAAACACTGTAGCCAAGACCAAAGAGGACTTCGCAGCAGGTTCAAAAGGTTTATTGCTCCAAGTGAGCCCAGAACATGGCTCTGTGCTTTGGGAGGCCGTCACGCACGATGGGAAGCTGCACGGTGAGGCACGTGCAGGGAGGCTGCCCACCGACCCTGGGTCTCTGCTGCCCACACAGCCACTGGTAGGGAGCCAGGCTCACGGGGGAGCTGCCTGGGAACTGAGAGGACAAGGCAGGCATGGTCTTGGGACAAGGCACACATGGGCTGGATACCCAGACAAGACTTCAGCCTGTACACTGTATAAAACAATAGCTGCCAATATTTAAAACTTGTAAAATTTCATATAAAAATGTGGATTTTGGCCTCTTTAGGGAGGGAAAAGGAGACCCAGGGCACACTGATCCCACAGCATTCTTTCAGGGTCCCGACTGGCCGCATGGAGACAGCAGTTGCCCCAAGCCTGAGGACTAGACTGTGGGTGTCTCCTATCCGGGCACACAGCCTGGTATTCTGTACAGCAGTAGGAATGCTCAGGGCTCTACTTATCAGTAAGTAAAAGCGGCAGTCACACCTGGAAGCAAACTGCTTCTCTGGGTTTCTCCTTTTCCTTGGCCTTGCAGGGCCACATTTATAATGACCTTAAGCACCTACAGCATTCCTGAGGCACCTGGCCTCCCCAGGGAAGCCTTCACCACACGCAGCTGCCTCTGGCACATACCCTGCCCGCTGACCAGGCAAACCAAAAGGTGAATGCAAAATTAATCCCAGAAGTTAAGGGAGGGCCAGGCTACCCGCTTCAGCCCTCCAGGCCCTTCCTGCAGGAGGGAGGAGAGAAGGGCCAGGGTCATACTGGCACTCAGCTCACATTAGCGGTCAGAAGCACTTGGCTGCTCTGGAAATGAAAAAGGCCCGGAGAGGAAGGAAGTCCCGGCGGGGGAGAAGAGGTGCAGGGGCCAGGCAGGCGCTCCGGCTCGCGAGTGCATCCTCCCCAGCCTGGCCCAGCCGGAAACAGAAAGCTTAAGTGGCACAAGCAAGGTGGCAGAGCTCCGGGAGGGCTACACAGGGAGGAGCCAGGGGTTGCTGCTGGGCCTCAGCAAACTCGAGGTGGAGGAAGAGGACTGCCTTCCCGGCACACGCAGCTGGCTGAGGCTAGGGCCGCCATGTCATTTGCCCTTCAGAGACGCGGAGATCCGGACACAGCCCAGCCGGTCCCCGCCGTGGCTCAGGATGCTCTGGACACGGTAGTTCCCGGTGCTGAGCCAGCTGGGCAGCTCCAGGTCAGGCACGGTGAAGTTACTTCTGGGCAGTGAGTAGATGCCCTGTGGGAGGGAGTGGAGCCCAGGTCAGGGGAGGCTGGGGTGGGGTCTCTGACAGGAGCCACCCAGGCCTGCAGCCACCAACGACCCCTCCTCCACCCTCCTAAGGCCACAGGCTTGCATTTACTAAGCCACTGCACAGCACGGATTATTGCGGCTAATGGGTCCCTGAGGTCACACCTAATCCCATGTCTCCCATTTCACAGATAAGTAAACTGTGGCACCTGAAAGATGAGCGATTCTTACAGATCTGCAGCCAGCCAGCTGGAGCTGCACACAAGGCCCTCGTGCCCAAGCACCCATGCTGGCCACAGGCACAATGCTCTCCTGGCCCAGGGCCTTACCTGTTTGAATGGACAGTGGCAGGGAAGCCCACAGGTATGCAGAGGCTCTGGGCAGGGCTCCCCAGGGGGAATGTAGGTGGCCAGCATGTTGCAGATGTCATCGTAGGTGCAGCTGCCCACCTGCTCCACACATGGGATCTTGATCCACAAGCCAGCCACTTCCCTCTCCAGGGTTAATTCCACCTAAGTGGAAAGCATTGCAAAAGTTACAAATGTAGGGGCTGGAGAGATGGCTCAGTGGTCTAAAGCACCTACTTAGAACAAGCTTAGCAAAGCACAGGGACCGCGGTTCAATCCCCCAGCACCACATGCCAGCCAGCCCGCCCCCTGGTGGGCTGAGCTGGACACACACACACACACACACACACACACACACATAAATAAAAAATTGTTTAAAAAAAGTTACAAATGTAAATGGCAGAGCAAACTGCCCACTCCCCTGGGGAATAAGCGCTTCCCTGGCAAGCTCAAGGACCTGAGTTCAATCCCTGGTTCCGGAAAAAACAAACAAAAAATCTTGCCCCCCTGCCTCCTTAAAAGGTCCATATAAAGCTGGGCTTGGTGGTGCACCCCTATAATCCCAGCACTCAGGAGCCTAAGGCAGGAGGATCACTGAGAGTTCAGGAGCAGCCTGGGCTCTGCAGTGAATTCAAGACCAGCCTGAACTGCATAGCAAGACCCTGTCTCAAAAAACCAAACAAGTTGGGGGCCGGGGAGATGGCTTAGTGGAATAAGCGCTTCCCTGGCAAGCACCAAGGGCCTGAGTTCAATCCTTGGTTCTGCCAAAAAAAAGAAAAAAAGAAAGTCAATAGAAAATTATAACCACAAGATGTAACTGGACAGGCTCTTTGCAGTCTGGTCGCCAAATGACAGTTCACTCAGGCCTGTGCATCTTCTCTCCTCACTGGCCCGAGCAGAATCTAAACATTCCATGGTAGTCACCACCCACAGACTAGTGGCAACAGTCGCACTGAAATCCCCCTGGTCGGCCCACTGTGGCCATTTATCAGCTTTGCTGTCAGTCTCCAGCAACCACCAGCCACTGACTGGAGCTGGCTACCACTGGGCAGCCACTGAAGGCAGAACAGAGGGCAGGGATTTACAAGACAACCACTTTGCATTAGCCTGCGGGCTTCATCACTGCTGGGTCAACACGGAGACTTCCTGCACAAGGGGCCGCCTCCCTGGACCTTCAGGGATGCTAAGGGGGAGCCCTGCACCCTGTGGGAAGCTACAGGGTATACCAGTGGCGCACCTCCGCACCGCCCAGATCTCCTCCCGCCCCACAGGATGGAGCCAACCTGGGCAGAGCCAGGCTCCATGCAGGCCGCCAGCTGGACCTGGCACAGCTGGACAGTGAACAGGCAGCCTGCCGAGTAAGCTGCCCCTTGGGACCATGTTACCAAAGTCACTTCTCTCACAGATCTGAGTCCATCACACTGAGCCCCAACTCTAGGCTTGCTTGAAGTTTTGTTTCTAGAATCAGGCCCTTACTCCCTGTGCTGGACTGGGGCTGGTCCCAGCGCTATGAACTTGTCTTCTAGCTGTCCCCTCTCAGGTGATGGGCTGTGGTGCTGTAGGCCCAGAAGGGAGGAACCACACTCATGTCCTGTGGGGGTGCCTTGCCCACTCTGCTGATGGCCACCACCCGCCACATGGACCTCCACTGGCCCTTTCTTCTCCACATGCCCCAAGCCTTGAGGAGAACCAGCCCAAAGCCAGAGCTGAAAGGTTAGCTCTGAGACATCCAGGCACAGCAGCCTGGGGAGCGTCACCCCACTTCCCTCAATCTGCACTCCCTGTTCCCCAAGTGGAGTATGCTAATACCCACCTCTCCCCAGGGCCCACTGCCCAGCACAGGGTGCTAGGCCCAGCTTCTCCCTTGGCTGACCCTCCTCTCCTTTCCCCAGTACCTGAGAAAATGCTTGAGCTCATTATACCACCCTCACCCCCCAGCAGCTGCTCCGGAGCAGAAGCCCACAGGCAGCTCGCCACCTGGGTGGGAAGGACCAGGCACGGCACAGTCCCCATTCTTAGCCTCCTTGCTAGGGCATCTCTGAAAAGCAAGTAGGGCTCGGCAATGAGCTGTTGTCACACTTCACAGCACAAAACTCCCCAGCTCCCGCCAGGAGGCCACAGCAGCACCCACAGCAGGGGCCCAGGTTCCACCCCAGGCTGGCAGTGCCCCCACCTTGAGGCCTCTGCTTCCCCACCCTGAGCAGGAAGCACGTAGCTCTCACAGCTGCAAGAAGCCCTGCCAGTGCAACAGCCTAACAACAGAAGTTTTCTGCAGTTTTGAAAATACTGGCTTCTCCTGCTCCTGGTGCCTTCAGAGCCAGGCACACAGATAGTTCCTGATAAAGCTCCACTGCCTTGCTTCGCTGTGCTACGATGCTTGTAATTCTGGGGACAGACCCAGGAAGGGAAGAGTTGGGTGACATGGGCCCTCCAAGCCTAGCTTTCTGAGGAATCTCCACACTGATTTCCACAGTGGTTGCACTAGTTTGCGCTCTCACCAACAGTGGAGAAGGGTTTCCTTTTCCCCAAAGCCACTCTAGCATTTGTTATTGGTTGATTTCTTCATGACAGCCATTCTTTCTGGGGTGAGAGCATTTCAGTGCTGCTTTAATTTGCATCTCTTGAGGACCTACACTCAAACAATGTGTTCCTCCTCATATTGCTTTTTAAAAACTTCTTTTGCTTCAGGCTCCTTGAGTACACCAGTCACTGTGGTCCCCACATTTCCCAGTGCTCATCCCAATATACTAACTAACCTTCAGAGACTTTTTCTTTTTGGTTTTTTTTTTTTTGGTTTTTTTGGCGGAACCGGGGACTGAACTCAGGCCCTTGCGCTTGCCAGGGAAGCACTTATTCCACTGAGCCATCTTCCCGGTCCCTAGAGACTTTTTCTGTATGTTATTTACACTGAAAATATCTACAAATGATATATCAGATAGGAACTTACAAGCAGGATATATTTTAAAATTATAGCTCAATTAAAAAAAAAAACAAAACAAAAACAAGGGAGCCTTTGAACAGATCCCATGCGCCAGGGAATTCCGTAGCTCTGTGAAAGGAAGGGAAAGGGGGGAGGGCACCCACCAGGCCGGAAGCCTGATGTGTAGGCATGAACACAGACACAATGGGTAGAGGCGGGCACAGGAAGCCTGGGAATGCCAGCTGCAGCTGCAGGAAGACAGCGCGTGCGCAGGAGGCAAACCCCTGTAGAGTAAGCCAAGAGCCAGGAGCACTCCTAAGCAGGCCCCAGCCTGGCCTGTGGCTCTGGGACCGGGGATTAGAACTTTAACACCACAGCACAGGGCACAGAGGCCACCTGTGACAAATGAAACCCTTAAACAGGTAAGAGGCAGAGGCTCTGACAGGCTGCCTGTGTGGCCCACAGGCTGAAGGAGCAGGCTTCACGGCGCTGGGGCAGGCGGTGAGGGACAAGGTTCTCCTCCTGAGCAAGCCATCAGAGGGACCTGTGTACCACCAGCCCCGGCCAAGAGGAGGAAAAAACCAGCCCAAAACACAAACTAGAAATGTGAAGGGACAAGACTGAGAGGACCCGAGGCCAGTCTGCACCAAGCAGAAGTGAGAGCAGAGACAACATTTAGCCCACACGCGTGCCAGGTGACCAAGCCACAGAGAAGCCGAGGGGGTGAAATCCACTGCAGTGGCCCACGAGGCAGCCGGGAAAAGCACTGCTCTGGGCTCAGCAAGGGCGCGAAGCGGGGTACGTGTGGCCGGGCAGCCGGCCAGGCCCAGATCGGAGGGCACTGGCTTGTCCCCACTCCCCCAGTGCTGGGTAACAGCTACAAACCTTGCAGCCACCCAGCCCAGAGGCCTGAGGAAGACAGGGAAGCAGGAAGCTGGCGCATGGACAGAACCTGTGTTTGGGACCAAGGGGCTGCAGACAAAGGCTGCTGCCACTCAGAAAGTGGCAGGGCTGGCAGGAACTGAGCAGGTCCTGTGTGCCAAGCCTGCGCAGGGCGCTTCCAGTACCGACTGACTCAGGCACATTCAGGCCAGGGCCAGGGAGTAAGGATTGCGCCAAGTCTACAGCCAGTTACAGGGACACAGGTTTCAAATCAGAATGCTTTTACATAATTAAGAAGAAAGGTGGCTCCGGGGTAAATGGGGAGAAGGAGCAGACTGCAGGCCAAGTAAAAACACCCAAGAATGTGGGATCCTAACAAGGGCATATGGAGTGCTGTAAGTGATGCTGCAATGGACGCAAAAGCCTTCACTGTTCTGTGAAGACAGGCAACAAAAGCTGGTCATTCCCAAGTAAATACAAAAAGCTACACGCATGAAGACACTGAAGTTCACTAGGAGGGCAAAAGAGACTGGCAGAGATCTGTACGAGCTGAGAGCTGAGGAGTGTATGGAAAATATTGTTGTCGGAGGCTGTCGTCAGTTGCTGAGCGCTCCGGCCGCCCTCCTGCGCTGTGCAGCAAAGGTGCATGTGGGCTGGGGTGCGGCTTGGAGGTTAAGCACTTGCCTACCACGCACATAGGCCTGGGCTCACGCTCCAGCACAGAAACTAAAACAGAAAAACCTAAAAAATCCAGATCTAGATAATCAGAAAGGGATGATTTCAGTTGTCAAAAAAAGCCTCCCTAAACCAAAATAAATAAACAAACAAAAACTACCCTAGAAACAAATGAAATATCCACAAATAGATTTGTTATATAAAATATAAAAGATTCAAACCAGGATATTTCTGCCATTAAAAATTACTAGGTAGAAGAGGTACCCTATTATTGAGTATGATGCTAAATAAATAAAAGACAAGTTTAATAGTACATGTCATATAATCCCATTAATATAAGTACATGTGCTATGTTTAATATAATTATAATTAGTATAAATACATATACTGTATTTACAAGCACATAAAAGTTTCAACAGGATAGTTAACAAGGACCACCCTTTCCGAGAAGGCTGCAGGAGGCCCTATGAAACACTGCTTCCTTTCATATTCAGCTGTTAAAGTAAGTACGTATATCCTGGGTGGGATCATATGAGAGAAAGCTGCAGAGAATATTCTGTAAGATGCTCAAAGTGCCTGCCTCTCATCACTGAGAGACCCCCACTGCTCATCACTGGGCAGTGGGATTTCAGGCCATTTACTTCCCTCCCCTTGGGCCACCTGTGCTTTCCATGGTGACCATGGCACTGGCTAATTGTTGGGTCTATTGTATAGTTAACAATGATGACAAAACCATTACCAACCAGAGTGGACCACCAAATCTGAAAAGGCTGGGCTGGGTGTGGCAGCGCATGCCTAAAATCCCAGCACTCGGGAGGCTGAGGCAAGAGGACCACTGCAAGTTGAGACCAGCCTGGGCTACAAAGTGAACTCAAGGCCAGCCTGAGCTGCACGATGAGACCCTGCTTCAAAAAAAAGGCTGGGAAGGCCAGCCAAATATCTCAGCAGATTAAAGCATCTGGAAGCAGGCGCAGGGGCCAGGGGTTCGATCCCCAGGCCTGCTGTGCCCCATGGTGCGGTGAGACAGCAATTGAGACTGGGCCAATTGAGACTGGGCGTGGTGGCGCGTGCCTGTAATCCCAGCTCTTGGAAGAAACAGGGGGATCACTATGAGTAGGATCTAGCAGTGAGACCTGAACACCCTGTAGACCCTTTCCTAAAATTTAAAAAAAAAAAAAAAATGCGGGCAATATAGCTCAGTGGTGCCTGGCAAAGCACAAGGTCCTGGGTTAGATCCCTGGTACTATAAAAAAATAAAACAAAAAATCATAGTCAAAAAGATTCCCCAAAGAAAGAAAAGCCTGGGGTGGCCTTGGCAGGTACCTGGTGTCAGTCATTCACGCGCTCATCTTGAAGTTACTGGGGTAGATATGATAATTCTGTAATCCTATGACCCTGTCACTTTCTGAGCCTGAATGGGTTTCAGATCTACCCATCCTGTGCTGCTGGGGACCTTAGGATTCAACTTCTGGGAGCCCCTGCCAGTCCCCACACCACCTCCCTGCTTACCTTCAGAGGAGAAGTGAGGGCAACGCTGGTCCTTCCCTCTGCGCTGACAGTCACATTCCCAGGAATGACAATGGGGTCAGGTTCCACAGTCAGGCCTTTGATCACTGAGGGGTCCTTGCCCTCATCACAGTTATCCCAGGAAAAGCTGCCAAGCCGGGAAGGCTGGAGCCAATCAAGCAGCACAGGAAGGGAACAAAAATCAACAGAACAAGTTACTGTCAGTGTCACATGCCTTCCCTGTCCCTCTGGAACTCTGCGTCTCACATCTGAGATCACACCTGTTCTGCCTGGTTTATAGACAGAGTAGAACTAAAAGGCAAAAGAAAGATGTCATACCCCAAAAGTATGCAAAACACAACATCACTGCCCTGAACATAAACATAAGTGACCAAGCTCATCTGCCTGGGGTGCAGTCCCTCATCTACCTGCTCTCCCCACAGCCTGGGATCCCCCTAGAGGACCAGTTCCCTGAGGAGCCCTCTCTTCCTGGCTATAACCCACAGCCTCAATACAGGGCCAGGAATAACAGGGCACACTAAGCAGTGAGAATCAACGGCATCCCAAAACCTGCCCCTGAGGGGACAGGACACACACACAGACCTATGGTGGGGTCTCTCGCATACCTATCAAGTAGGCATGCCATGGCCCCCACCCCTGCAGAGCTGTCTCTCTCCTCCCAGAGGAGGCCCCAGTACATCACCACCTTGGCCAACCAGGACCACCCACTCATTCCCATAGGGCCTTGCCACCTAGCCCCTCACCCCTCTTGTAGCCCCCACAAATAGTCAGCACTCCCACCTCCCACCCCCAGAGAGAAAACCTGTCAACCCGCACCCCTGAGCCAAGTTCCATCTTCACACCCAGAGATAACTGATCAAGAGAGAAACCCAGTTTGGTCCTGAGGAGCTAGAGAAAGAGGAGAAGGAGCAAAACACAGACTGAGCTGTGAGAAGCCTGGGCTGTCCTCAAACTCACGGGAATCCTCTGGCCTCAGCTTCCCAACTTCTGGGACTACACATGTATGCCCCCATGCCTATCTCCACATCTTTTTTTGAGGGCTGAAGATAAAACCCACAGCCTCAAATATGCTGGCCAAGTGCTCTGCCACTGAGCTACACCCCAGCTAACATCAACTTTTTTTTTTTTTTTTTGCAGATGGAACCCTTGAGAACTCTATGTCTGAGCCATATCACCAGCCCTTTTTATTTTGTATTTTGAGACGGTCTCGCTAAGATGCCCAGGTGAAATTCAAACTTGAGATCCCTCTGCCTCAGCCTCCCTCCATGCTGGAATTAAAGGTTGTGCACCACACCTGCTCACCCACATCTTTTAAGTGGAGGGGTCACTACCTTCCCCTCAGATCTGTCACAAGAATGAGAGCATATACGTAAAACTTGGAACACTGCACCAGGCACAGACCATGAGCTGGCTCACTGAGCTACATACAGCCAGATGTCTCAGCCTCCCAGCTCTCCGCTTCCAGTCATTAGTTCCAGGATTTCCTGTACATAGGTTAAACTTCCCTTTCCTGGAGCCTGTTGGAATGGGTTTCTAATCCTTGGAATGAAAAGTCACACCGTGACTAATGTTAAGGCAAGCTGGGGAAGGAATCAGCAAATATTTCCTTCAACATTCATACTGCAAATATTCAGGGAGCAACAATTACAAGCATTTTGGGATGTGTCAAGGCAAGCAATCAGACACTGCTCCAGCCCTGCCTCCAGGAGCTGACAGTCTGATGTAAATAAACATCACCCACCTCCTGCAAGTGGCCCTGGAAATGAACAGAAGATGTGGAGAGTGATAGTCTCTCTTCAACAGGACAGGACAAAGAGTCTGATGGCAGAGGACCAGGCAGAGGACCAGGCAGAGGCCGGAGGCACTCTCCAGGTATTACGGGGAGGCCCACAAGCTAGGGGTACAGAACAGATGCTCAGGGAGACTGGAGGGTCTGCAGAACCTCACAGGTCACAACCAGGAGACAATGGGACTACATTAAGATCTGTAGCTGTAGACACTGGAAGAGACCAGGCTGGGAGGATATCTTTTTTTTTTTTTTTTTCCGGCTTAATGCTTGGATCCCTCAAGAAAGATAAGGTGGTAGTGTATTGTGGGAGTCGTTTCAGCATCTTTTTTTTTTTTCCGGAACCGAGGATTGAACTCAAGCTCTTGTGCTTGCTAGGGAAGCACTTGTTCCACTAAGCCATCTCCCCGGCCCCTGGGAGGATATCTGTATTGCACCTTTTTTTTTTTTTTTTTTTAACCAGGAATTGAACTCAGGCCCTTGTGCTTGGCAGGCAAGCCAGCACTTATTCTACTGAGCCATCCCCCCAGCGATATCTGGATTTTAGAGTTGGGTTGACAGGATGGCAAGCGATTTCCTGAGGCTGATTTCCCCAGTGCCACAGTCGCCTGATGCACAGAAAGGAGACTCCAGGCTGAGGGATGCTCCCAGCATGCCCTCTGGAAAGTCTCTCATCATCCCACCATCAAGCACCTTACTCCTGAGGCCCTCAGAAAGACAGACAAGGTGGTTCCCAGTGGAAGCGCCTGACTGCCTCTGACATGTTCTGCAGCTAAGTCCAGGCCTACTGGGAAGAGACCCAAGGGGTTAGCAGTGGCCTCAAAGGGCCAGGCCTAACACCAGGTGTCTCCCACACCAGTCCATACCAACACATGCGAAAGAGGCTCACAGCAGAGGGAAAGATGTGGCCCCAGGGACAGATCTACAGGTACAGTCAGACTTGGTTAAAACTGTACCCTGGGGGGCCAGGGAGATGGCTCAGTGGAATAAGCGCTTCCCTGGCAAGCACAAGGGCCTGAGTTCAATCCCTGGTTCCACAAAAAAAAAAAAAAAAAACTGTACCCCAGACACTCATTAGCTGAGGTTGTGTGTACCCCTTGGGATCCTATTTCCTCCTATTAAATGGGAATGACCATATCTTCTCACAGGGCTATTGTGACAATAAGCCTGAATATAGGGCTCAACGCAAGGCTGTCAGATTCATGAAAAATGGGGAAGACTGAAAAACTGTCACAGGCCAGACAAGCTTAGAAAATGGGGCAGACATGGCAACGTGGTATCCTGGGACAGAAAGGGGGCATTCATGGAAAATTGGTGGGACCCAACGATGCTGGAGTTTAGGTAACAGGAAAGCACCTATACTAGTTTCTTTGGAATATACTGGAGCTCAACACTATCTTTCTAACATTTTGTAAATCTAAAATTTTTCCATAAAGTTTATTAGGATAACAGGACAAGACTCTCAATACACCATAGGCAGTACAATAACTGGCGGCCACCATGCAACGTCAATGACTCTCGCCCTGTTATCTAACAGTTACCAAAGCCCACAATCACAAGACCAGTCAACACTAGAAGAGGAACTGGAATGCAGGGTGCTGGAGCTAAAACATACCATGCTCCCACAGCCTTTATCTGGCCCTCGATCACTGGGGCAAGATGGAGTGGACAGCACAAGTGCCACCAGCTCCCGCTCTTGGGTGAGAACAGGTCCAGCGGCCAGCGCAGAGCCTCTGGCCAGACTCCACGCCATCGCAGCCCAGCCCGGAGCCGGGGCAGCAGCTGCAAACTGCACTGGGGCCAGGTTCCCTACCCTCTGGGCCCAGGAGTACGCGCCACGCACGGGAACACGGGCTCCTTTCCTCTGAGGAAGCCTGGAAGGGACGCCCACCCTCCTGGCTCATGTCACTTTCCGAGATTTTGGAGCTTTCCCGGGCGCCTTCGCCGCCGAGTACCTTACAAATGAAGACCAGAAGGCCGGGAGCGGGGGCTGAACGGAAGCGGGTGGGAAGCGGGCCTCCCCGCCGTCCGGCCGCAGCCCCTCCGCGCGCGGCCCCGCACCCCGTCCCCGCAGCAGCAGGGCCGCCCCAGCACGGGCCGAGGGCCGAGGGCTTCGGGGCGGCAGCGGCGCGGTCCCCTCAGCGTACAGGAGGGCCGGCCTGAGAGCAGAAAGACGGGGAGCCGCCTCGGCCCAGGCAGCGGGAAGGGTGGGGTGCGGGAACGCGCGGGTCCGGCCGGAGGGCTTCGCTCCACGCCGCGAGGCCGACCCTCCCCACAGCACCACACCGCGTCGGCGGCTCCGCAGCGGGGAGCCACGAACCAACGGCGAGCGGCGCGGCGCGCCCACCCGCGCCCCGGGGGCGCTCACGCGGCTCACGGTGAGGCGCGCAGGCTCCGCGCGGCCGGCGAGAAGCAGGCCCAGGACGAGCAGCAGCGGCGTCGACAAGGCAGGCATGGCGGAGCCGGACGGCGGACCGCGGGGCGCGCGGCTTAAATGCGGCCGGGTCGGGCCCCGCGGGCCCACCCGCGCAGCCTACCGCGGCCCGCCGGCCGCAGCGAGCCGCCCCGCCCCGCCCCCAGGCGCTCAGCCTCGAGCCCCGCCCTCGAGCCCGGAGGCCTCCGGCCGTAGGGAGGAAGCGGAGCAGAGGAGGGCGCGGGCGGGAGCCGACCCGGACCAGTATGGGAGGGCGGGGCTGGCCGGGGCGGGGCTCGGCGCGGGGTGGGAGGGGCTTGTGCGGCGCGTTGGCTCAGCGCGGGCGGGGCTACGGGGAGGGGTGGGGCTTACCAGTCGACGGGCGGGGGCGGGGCTGAAGGCCGGGGAGGCGGGGCGGTGGCTGCAGGCCTCGGTGCCAGTTTTGTCACGCGCAAGACCTTGTCAGAGCGGTGCTTCCCCAGACCCATGTTACACATTGCTGTGTCCGAGGAACGTGATCATTATATACCACGAATAGGCATGAAAAGCAGGGAAGGCTCCCAAAGGGGTTTGGGGGACGAAAAGCTGCGTGGGTGTCGTGTCCCTGTACCGACGCAGCACTGGGAATGGGACTGTGGCGTGCTGCAATCGTGTTCGATAAAGTGGACGAACGTGATGTCACTGTGTGCATGAGGCCAGAAGATTTGCAAGTAGCACGCGTCAAGTGAGGGAACGCTGCTCACCACCGATAAACACACGCAGTAAAAGAAATCACTGCCTTTTATTTTACTATTGCAATAACCAGCATTTTGGTGCTTTATGAGGGGCTGAGGACTGTACCAGAAAAGCTGGGGGTTTGGTGTTCTTTTCCCCTTATCTTAGCACTGAGAAAACCGATATTCTGAGAGACTGACTTTGACAAAACTACACAGAGGTCACAGAGCATGAAGAAGATTTGGCTAGGTCCCTATGCTAGCTGAAGTTCGCTTTAAAGGAGAAAATAGAAACACCATTTTCACCATATCGCCACTAGGTTGTCAACTGCACAGGAGATATCTAGTGCCTGCCTGACATTACTGAATGAATTCATGCATGCAAAGAATGTAAAGCAACATATTTTAAAAATAAACTTTTTTTTTTTTTTTGCTCCGAATGCCCTCAGAGCTGGCCGGAGTGTTGTGGGGATCGAACAACAACAACCTGAGGCTGACAGCTTTGTGGAAGCAGACACTTAAAGAACTGAGCTATGGCCAGGCCCGCAAAAATAAACTTTTTATTTGGGAATTAATTTTAGATTTAAAGAAAAGTTGCAAAATACTTCAGAGCCCTCTTCCAATTCCCCCATTGCTAGCATTAAAATATCGTGATGATAAAAGAAAAGTGTAACTCCTGACCTGTCAGGTGTCAGGTGTGCCGAATTCGGCTCTCACTACGTTGCAGAACAAAATCACAAACCAAAGGAGGAAGTTGAGAGTGTTTTACTGGAAATGAAATGAGGAACAGCTCTTAGACTTCCAGGAGGGATCCCAAGTGGGTGATGACTGCCGCCCTTGGGCTCGCAGGGAAAGTCTGGGGCCTGGACCAATGTCGTGGCTGCATTCCCAGGTTGTATAGAAGGACCATTATCACAGGCAGCTAAGTTGGTGGTCTTCAAGGAAGTCAGCACAGAAAACAAGGACATCAGAACTGGGGCCAGAGGCGTACCTGAGGAGAGCCAGCCTACAGGCCTCCTGTACAGGAGATATCTAGTGCCTGCCTGACATTACTGAATGAATTCATGCATGCAAAGAATGTAAAACAACATATTTTAAAAATAAACTTTTTGGGGCCAGGGAGATGGCTCCGTGGAATAAGCGCTTCCCTGGCAAGCGTAAGGGCCTGAGTTCAATCCCCGGTTCCACCAAAAAAAATAAATAAGTAAATAAACTTTTTATTTGGGAATTAATTTTAGATTTAAAGAAACAGCAATCCAGGTTATGCTGTCATTGGCACCACCTGGTCCAGGGGCCTAGAGGGCACGCAGCGCATAGGTGGGGACCTGAATGCCTACACACCCTGTCTTCCCTTCCCAAGAATTCCTGTGATCCTTACGGCCCCTCTGGGTGACTCCTTTCCCTGCTCTGTTGGATCAGTGTTAGCTGAGTGGCTGTACTGAGCCTGTAGCCCCACACATAGTCTGAACCACAACTGTCCCGATGGAGTGACTTTGCTGTGTGATTTCCCCCCAAGAGAGGGTGCTCCCCTATCCCAGCCCCAAAACTTCCTATGCACAAGTGCAGCTTCAGAGCAGAGAAGGGAGGACTTGCTCAATGTCCGCTGCAGAAGTAAAACTAGAAGTCACTCCTGTGGCTGACTCCACGCTTGATACTATGTGGCCCGCTACTTGGGGGAGGTTGGGTGGTGGTGGCAGCAGGGGCGGCTGTAACCCACACTGGTCCTCGAGGAAGGCACCACAAATAGTCACAGACTCCCTTCCAGGATGGCGCCTTTGTCTTTGCAGCTGCCAGACTCCTCAACCAACCGTCACCCACCTCCTCTGGTCCCCTAGGTATTCCATGCTCTTGGCTTATGCTGCAGTCCCCCGGTGCGGGCAGTAAAAGGTTAATTTTCCTCAAGGAATTCACATCCTGGGGAAATGTTTTAGAAAACTGGAAACTGTTGTCACTTCCCTGTCAGGGACAATGAGTTTCCTGGGGGAGTGGCTGGGTCTGGGAATAGCATGGCCCAGTAGGAACTAACAGCCATGCTAGTGTTTGGGGTACCCAGTGTGACATGTACAAAACAGCCAGATATGCTGACACACACATGTAATTGCAGCATCCGGGAAGCTGAGGCAGGAGGATCTCTGTGAGTTTGAGGTCAGCTAGGCTCCATTGTGAGTTCAAGGCCAGCCTGAATCACATAGCAACACCCTGTCTCAAAAAAAAACAAGCAAAACAAAATTTCTATGAAGCAGGCTAGGGTCAGATGTAGAGGTCACAGAGAGAAGGTACGAACCTCAAACATGATTTGTCTGCATGGTTCATTCTTAGATGTTTTTACATAGTATCTAACACATGATTTATAAAAATCACTGGCATGCATGTCTACCTCGGCCTGAACGATTGGTCCACAGAGCCGAGATGTCCCGCGTGGGGAAGCTGCTCTCCCACCCCCACAGAACATCTCCAATTTTTGTTATCGCCTGGTCTACAAGTTTCAATCCCAACTTCAGTCAGCATATCTGGTTTTTTTGTTTGTTTGTTTTGTTTTGGTCGTACTGGGGATTGAACTCAGGACCCTGTACTTGCCAGGCAAGCACTTATTCCACTGAGCTATCTGCCCAGCTCCAGCATATCTGATTTTGAATTTTGGCTATTGCTACTACTAGAAGACAGCTTTCACAAAGAAAATAAAAGTCCATGCCGCTCGTATAAACAGAAAAGCTGCGAGCACTCAAGATTTCACTTTTCTCACTCCATGAGGGCACCTAGATGTTAGTCAGTCCCAGAAAGATCCAAAGAACAGACACTCTTCTAGACCAGGAATAATTAAATGCCATCAGTGGGGAGAGCTGCACACCGTGCGTGGCTCACGCTGCACCGCGGGTACTGTAAACAGCTACAGCTGTGCTAGTTGTAAGTGTTACACGCAGTTAGAGGACAGCTGTGGCTGCAGGCACAGGCGCCAAGGCCAGGCTGCGAGAGGCATGACTGCACCCACACACTTCCCGTGAGGTGGGACTCCCGTGACGATATCCTACATCACCTTGGGTGGGAGACCGAAACCTCCCAGTCCTTCCCGGAAAATCCTTGTTTCCTCCACGTGCACATGATTTGCTTCCCCTTAATCCCCATTTAATCAATATTACAGAAACCACTGTGCTTGCTGTCATCTCACTGGCTCACCAGTTTTGTCCCGCCTCCGCCCACTTCCTAACTTCCCATTGGATCAGTGTTACCCAAGGAACGACACTTGTAATCTTATTAGCTGACTATAGTTCTGTCCTACCTTGAACCCGCCTCACCCCTTGGCTTTGCTCAATAAAACCTTGACATGCAGGGTCGGTGGGAACCAGCTTTTCAGGTCACCTTCTGCCTCGTTTAGAAGCTCCCTTTCTTGGGCAGGGGAGATAGCTCAGCGGTATAAGCACCTTCCTGGCAAGTACAAGGTCCTGAGTTCAATCTCTGGTACCAAAAAGAAAAGGCTCTCTTTCTCTCAATAAGCTGTCCCTACCCTTAACCTCCATGGATCCTAGAATTCATTCTTTGATTTTGGAGAACATAATTCGGCATTTCTGGACATCTAGCAGGTTGGGAGTCATAATATTTCCATTACATTTGGAGGTTCATACATCATCCCTATATCGTAAGCCCTCTCTCTAGCACTCGGGAGGCTAAGGCAGGAGGAGTGGCGCGAGTTCAAGGCCTACCTGAAGGCATAGCAGGACCCTGCCTCCGAAAACCTTAACTCTAATTAAGATAATGAATGTGAAAGCAAAGCTGACCTCTCCCTTAGCAGAAAGAGGAGGCAATGTATACCCATCAGCCTGTGCCTGGTCAGGGGCGCAGCTGTGTGCTCTTACCCCTCCCGGGGAAGAGCAGCTGCACCTCAGGCAGCAAAGCCCCAGAGCCCCTGGGGGAGCACAGACAGCACAGAAGGCTGCTTGCACAGTGGACACTTATCCATCCACGACCCAGTCTTTTTCCCCATGATGGCGTTCAGCCTCTGTCCCCCATCCGTACGGCGAGGCCCAGCTAAATGATGCCCACGGTCCCGGTCCCATCGACCAGCAGCCACACACACCCACAAAGCTGGAGGGGCGGGGCGCCCAGGCCTAGTGCGTGTCAGACCTTGGGTTCCATGCCCCAACAGGAGGAGAGGAAAGGAAAGCTCACTCTTCTCACTTGGGCAGACTGAATCCCGGAAATACTTGGCCTCTGGTGGCTCCAGCAGGCCGGGACAGAGCCCAGGGCAGCCTCCCCACCCACCTGCGCCTGGCCGGAGGGGTCCGGTGAGAGGCACCGTTCTAATCCCCCAAGACTGCCTCTCTCCAGGACCCCTCCCTGGAGCTGTGATTCTTACAGCTGGCTGGGCCTGAAGCTGCGCTCAGGGCGCCCTTGTCCTCGTGGAAGGGCAGCCGAGGTCTG